TAATTTGTAACGCTTCTGATGTCAAGTTGATTACGTGCTCGTTACGTGCATTTTAAAATTATCGCATATTTGGGTGTCAAAATTTTAGAATGAGTTAATATGAGTTGTTTTTACCGAGATTGTTCTATTTCTAATTGCAAAAACTACTCTCAATAGACTAAGGGATGTTTGGAAGTGATTTTGATCCTGCTTCTTTTTAAAATTAGAAGTAGAAGTAGAATCAGAGTCATTTTTCAGAAGCTGGCTTCCCCCAACTTCTAAAAAAACTGATTCTAGGATTAAATTATAGTACCAGAATCACTTCTGCACTTTTAGTCAAACGCTTCAACTTTTTTGCTTCTTTTCCCTGAAGTAGCATAAACAGTTTTAAGAATCAGATCCAAACATCCAAAATGGCTAATTTCATTTATTTGAATTGTTCAACTTTTACCCTATTAAACTGTTAAAATGGCTTTATCTTTCCAAGTCCGTCCAACCACATATACTTTAACGTCTTTTTTATGACCTCTTATCATGAAGCTTTTTGGAATTGCCCCAAGAATGATGGGACGACGATCTTGAGATTAATGGCATTATCATTGAGTTATAAGTTGACCGAATGTTTCCTATGGAATAAATCGTGTTTTCTGACTCTAAAGTGAGAAGTAAAATCATGGTTTAAAACTTTAAGGCAAGTTAATTGTATTTTTCCGTACGAAAATATGATAATGGGACATAATGGACCACCTTAGTGTATTAATGTTGCTCTAGTGGTGGACATTTGTTGTTCAATGTGTGGCTGGCCAATTCGCTCTTGCATTGTCGAATTTCCACCATAAGTTTAGTTAATTAATTACTTAATTGTGATGAGATTATGAGACTAATTTTCGTCCACTTGTATCTTTCTTTTGCTCATATTGATCATGATGTGTACCTACGAATGAACCTTCGTGTCGAGGACAAATTGCTTATATGAACAAATAATGGCGAATATATAAATAAAATGAAAGTAGTGAAAAAATTGTGACATTTTACGATTTTGGAATTGTAATAGTAATTTTAGTTCTATGATTATGTTTGATTTTATAATGTAGTGACTGTGTCGGTATTTTACAACTACTGTAGTCAAATTTTTGTCAAATTTTCTCCCATATCATATTTAAGGGAAAAACTTACATACATACATTTTTGTTGTACAAAAAAGATTGTGGCTTCCGTATAATTGTAAGTCTTTGACAAACGATTTGTTTAACTAATAGATTAGCGTTTTCCCATAAAACAAAAGGATTGTGGTTCATCAACATATTATGATGTACTCGGTATAACCGAAGTTTTTTGCTATAATTGCTCACATATGGAGTATTTGTTCTGTTAAATGTCAATATCCTTGACTAGGATGAGTGTCGAACATCTGACCTCCCCTTTAGAGTTGACACAATGATGTCATCGAATCACAAGGTGTTTGGCTCGTATAACGGAAGTTTTGAACTGTGATTTTGTTTTTTCTTACTATTCATCTTCTTCTTGTGTTGTTGTTGTTATTGCTATATGTAGTAGTATTTGTTGTTGATATCAATGCTAAGTTTGTCACTTTTATTGTATCATTTATTATTATTTGTTGTTGTTTTTCTTATTATTACGATTTGTAGTGGTACCGTAAATAGCAAATTATGTAAGACGCTGCACATTAAGATGTTAAACAGGACCCACAGAGTACTATGGAGTTGCAAGGAATACCGTTGCATGGGCATCTCAATTAGTCACAAGAGTGAAATTTGGAATAAGTGACGTAGGATGAATCTTGCAAGCAGTAGTCTGGAAGAACATCTCAATGTTAGGGGAATTCCTTTAATTTTATGCAACGGGCACTGATCTAACCTTTTAGAACAAGTTGAAAAGAATACCTAATACTCCCTTCGTCCCAGGGAGAAGTTCCCGGGTTGACTTTCACACATTTTTAGGAAATAAAGTTACTGAGGGGTAAATTTTACTGTTTTGCACTGTTTCGACACTGTTTGGCACTGTTTTGACACTGTTTGGCACTGTTTGGCACTGTTTAGCACTGTTTTAATGTAGGATAACTTTCCATTTAGGGAAATGGGAAGTTTCTTTTGGGACATCCAAATAAGGAAATTGGAAACTTCTCCCTGGGACGGAGGGAGTAGTAGAAAGTAGCAATTAATGTGTTCTTGATGTTAAAAGTAACAATTAGTTGAGAAAAGCTTTTGTTTTAAGCTGACATGATAGCGGCAAAAGTTAGACCAACACATACTACCAAAACTTAATAGACTTGAGTTTTGTGATGGAATTGAAATCATATAAAAGTCTCTTGGATTTTTTCCAACTTAAAAGAAGTGAAAATAGAAGTCTAAAGACAAGGTTCTTTTAATTGCTTAACTTTTGATTCATATTAAAACATACAATGACACCTCATCTCAGAAATCCCGAACACCGACCGAACAGTTAGGCCTTGTTTGGTTCAAAGGAGGGGAGGGAAGGGGAGAGTCAACGAGGGAAGGGAAGGGAAGAGGAAGGAAGGATTTTGATAAAGATTTGTGTTTGGTTGGAGGAAATAGGAGGAAAGGTTTAATGAAAATATTTTCCCAATTTACCTTTACTTGATAGTTTACTTAACAAAATAGATACATCTCTAACTATGGTGAATATTACTCCTATGTTCATGAGTCATAATATTTTTTTTTTTACTTTTTTAATTTCATAAATTTTTATTTTTTTAACTTTTAATTTTTTAATTTTTAATTTTTTTAGTTTTTAAATTTTGAAATTTCAATTTTAAAAATTTTAGTTTTTAAATTTTTTAATTTTTTAATTTTTAATTTTTAATTTATTTAATTTTTAAAATTTTAAATTTTTTGATTTTTCAAAATTTTTTATTTTTTAACTTTTTATATTATAACATTTTGTCTATTCACGTAGGAGATGAATATAGTTTGTGGTTATCAACGAGTTTCCTCCGAAATACCCCGATTTGGGGGATTTAGTATGGGAGGAAGTGGAGGATTTTGGAAGCCTTCCACTTTCCTCCTTTCCCCCCCTATTTCCTTCAACCAAACACGCACAAATCCCCCATTTTCCTCCCCTCCCCTCCAAAAACCTCCAACCAAACAGGGCCTTAGCGTTTGAGCGATATTAATACTACGGAGTATAACTTGGTTCATTTGTAAATTCACCCTGTAACTAATACGAACATATTTGTGCATGACCTTTTTTGGGTTCAACAAAGTTAACCTGGAAAGTGTCATACCATGGGGTCTGCCATGTTAGCCAGCCAATTCAATCCACACACTTATTTCCTTTCTGAGAACCAACCGTATAGAGAGTACTCAAGCAGTACGGTAGTACCACTGCCTCTTTTGTCATGTTCATTCCAAATGAATAAAAAATACTCCGTACTAATATCAATAACTCGAATTTGACAAAATAGTTGAACGTTGAAGTGCAAAGAGCTTCGAAATGTTTAAAAATGAAGTGAATTGTTTGTTTAAATATGACTACAAATATGATTACTCCGATAATCACGGGCGGAGGTAGAGAGAGGGGCAATCGAGCCGTGGCCAACTCCAAATTTAAAAATTGTTTGTATTCTTACAGTAAAAATATATATAAAAAAATTTTGAAAAATATATGCATTGGCTCATCCCAACCTTCATTTTTTGCAAACCCCGCCTCATGTTTAGTAAATATTCGCTTTTTATGTGTTAATTCGTGTGCAAAACTATATTCCGTATGTATTTTCCAGAATGGCTTTCTTGTGTAAATCTATTTTAAGAATAAAATAATAGAACGGAGATGTGAACTTAATCCCTTTTACACCACCTTTTATGGACAATTTCTTGTCAAATAATGTTAGTGGCGAACAACATTTTTTCCTTTTTGCTTATAACTTCATGATATTACTCTTGTGATACATGACCAAATGCTCAACCATGTGGACAAGAGTAAATGTCTTTCCCCTTTTTCTGTTTCCATCCAACATAAATTTCAATGGGGAGGAAAATGATTTCGTTCCCTTAATGAGTTAAGTGTGTGTTTCGCTACATTGATGTAGGGGTGTTTTGATCTGATTCTCAAAACTGATCTTGCTCCTTCAGAGAGCAGAAGCATAAGCTGGAGTGTTTGAGTGAAATTCCAGAAGCACTTCTGGTGCTCTAATTTACTCCCATAATCACTTTTTTTAGAAGCGGATAAGTACCAGCTTATGAAAACTGATTCTGATTCTGCTTCTGCTTTAAAAAAGAAGCAGAAGCAGAATCGATTCCAAACACCCCGTATAAGACACGTCATGAGCAATTGTCACCATCTGAAGCTGTCCAAAGCTTAAATCCTTATTAAGATGGACTAACTCATAATTATTCGTTTGAAATTATGGTCCAAGTCGTACTTTCATAAGGAGTAAGCTATTGATGAAATTACACCACACCTTTCCACTTTCTTATTACATAATTTAATATTTCATTCAGGAATATTGAAATTGACTGAATCAACTAATTCTTCTAAAATTTACTAAATTATAGTTGAAGTTGCTAGACTGACCGATTCAGTCAATTTGTGAAATAAAAATAATTATCTTATTAATAATTTTTTTTTTTTAAAGTAAATGAAAAATAGCTAAAATGATGCTCTACAGTAACTTAGAAATGTAGTTTCAACCTTACTAATTTGGATTATTACACAATTTAACCCGTGAAATAAAAAATTACAACCTCTGTCCCGGTAAGATTGTCTCATTTTACCTTTTCGGCCCGTCTCACTAAGATTGTCCCATAACAAATTAGACAAAATTTGTGTGGCTCCAAACTATTCTTTATTCTTACGTTATCAATTCAGTATCAATAACATAACTCACTTTTTATTAGTTTGTGTGTCACTCCCTCTTGTCCCATTGTTAGTGGGATGAGGGAGTATGTGTTTGGTTAAAAAATTGACTAATAAGCCGAAAAACGAGATCACCAAACGGAAAACGGGCTCTTAACCACACAAACATTTCCAAATATGACCATAACCAAAACAACCGTTTTCAAGGAGGAACCAGAAAAAGTTTATACCAATTGTTGCTACATATTCAGATCTAAAACCAGAAACCCAGTGACTTCAAAAGCAAACACTCACAGGTTCAATTTGGTTCTCTAACCGGATCCACCCTTGAGAAGGACCACAATGAAAACAAGAACAAACACGATGGGAGAGGGTGCAAATCAGTATGAGATTACTCAATATTGGGTAATTGTTGCCACCTATTACAGAATATAAAAATAGTACTAACACAGTGGCGTATAAGAGCAATAACTACAAACTTTTTCTATAGTAAGATTAGATCATGAAATAGGTTTTCGGATTTCAGTGCTTTTAGGAGGGGTTAGAGAAACCAATTGTCCGGTCTGGCTTATGGCTAATATTTGTACAGACACAAGAATAAAACACAAATCATACATCACTTCTGGGAATATCAGGAGTAGGTCTTTATCCCCCAGAATCCGTCTGCCCACATTTTCATCAGCCTCTACCAATAAATAACTGCAAACAATAAGATCACTCAGTCAAAATAAACACACAGACGATGAAAAGAAAACAGTAAGATTGTAGTCAGAGCATATATGAAAAATGCCATGTTAAGTTTTGGAGAAATATTATATTACCCCTTAGGTAGCACAAGCAGTGCCTGTTAGGGAAGTCTCCGGTTGTCAACAAGAATTTCTACTCTATAAACTTATTTAATCATGACGGTCAAATAGGCTGATAGTAGAAAAAAAGTGTCTTCTTTGTTGTTCAAAGGAATGAAAAGGAAAACACAATTTTTCGAATATTATTTCATCCATTTGTCAAAAAATATATATTTTAGACAATTCATCTCATTCAACCCGAGTTTCTGAAGCTTCATCCAATTCAACTCCACAGATATTTCAGCCAAATTTTACCAGTATCAAACAACTCTCAATATGACCCAATAGTTTTTCTGAGTTGGATTGTTTTAACAAAAGTCCTACAGACACATTAATACAGAACTATACTATTCACAAGACAATCTTGAATTTGAGCCCATGAGAAATTATGCTTTTATCTACCTAGGCAAATCAAACTTCATCAAGTTGCCATCAATCATGCGCAAGCCTATTGGGGAAAATTTTGATTCAGCTTGGATTGATTTTTTACCATGCATAATAAACAATTAGGTCCCTCAGTAATCAGTATAAAAAATACTGCAACAATTACATGCCATAAAATGGAAAAAACAAGCCTTTATATACAAAATATTAATACTCATGAGTTTATGTCACGTCTTCTTTCTTCAGCAAAGGACTACAAAAAATACACATCTAGCAACAAGACAACGTTACAACACTGACATAGTGCCACACAACAAATTACATCACAAACAAATATTTTAATAGTTAAGCTCTCAAAACATACAATATGTGACTGCGTGTATTACTCTCTGCATCACACAAAAAAATCCTCCCAAAAAAGGAATCATGTTCAAACAAACGAAGCTATTTGTTGTCATATTACATGTATTAAATAAAGTATCCCAAACAAGTTAGATGTGTTAAACAAAGTCAAACCAACCAAATAAAGAAAAAAACATAGCTAGAATTGATATTTCCCAACCGTTGCATAACAACAACAACAAAACATCCAAGCATTAGTCCCAAAAGATTTTGGGTTCGGCTAACATGAATCGATACATGATATCGGAGCCAAAAGGGAAAGAAAAATACGAAAGATAAAGGAAATTCCCAACAGTTGTACTTGCTAAAATTTAAAAGCTGTACTTTGGTTAAGCGGGATCCATTTTTGGGATGGGGGTACAATATTTAAAATATGCAACCTTTCATTAAAACCTACACTTGCTAAAATTTAAAAACTGTACTTTGGTGAAGCGGGACTCATTTTTGGGATGGGGGTACAATATTTAAAATATGCAACCTTTCATTAAAACCTACACTTGCTAAAATTTAAAAGCTGTACTTTGGTGAAGCGGGACTCATTTTTGGGATGTGGGGTAGAATATTTAAAATATGTAACCTTTCATTAAAAACCTATACTTTCATTGCAAGAAAAGACTGCCTTTGCTTTCATTGTAGGGAAACCTGATTTAGTCATCATTGTGCTGCCAAATCCAAACTTTGGCTTCTTTTCAGTAGGCTTTAATATCTAAAAGAGCACATCAAAGTCTGATCAATGCTCATCATGGCACCTGCTTTATCAAACTCCCGAGAATAATTAGGACCTGGAAATATCGTCACAAGTTGTCTATCAGCAAAAAGCTGTTATCCATCTACAACAACCTGAATTAATTGAAAGACAAATATCATAAGATAGACTGTTTGTGGAATTAAAGAAGTGTGATATACTTCGTATATCTCATTAATACTCTTACATTTAGATGGCAGAAAAGAAAGTGAAATATGAAAAATTATCATCACAAGTTGTCTATCAGCAAAAAGCTGTTATCTATCTACAACAACCTGAATTAATTAAAAGACATATAATAAGATCGACAGTTTGTGGAATTAAAGAAGTGTGATATACTTCGTATATCTCATTAATACTCTTACATTTAGATGGCAGAAAAGAAGGTGAAATATGAAAAATTATATTAATTTACATAATCTATAAACTACCTTTATCTCCTAAAAGTGTCAAGTTTGACCAATGCACGACTTCAAAAAATTTGTAAGGTGAAATGCTATAAACCATGAGTCAGACTTCTATTTTTTATTGAATAACTTCAGTTTGTTGGATTGACTATGTTTATCATATATAACTAAACCTTTTGGAAATAAAAATGATATGTTATGGTTAGTTCAATCAAGCTGGGCTCTTTTTTAACCAAGCAGGCGTTGTGCTTTTATCTACCTACGCAATTCAAACTTCATATTGTTTAATAAATACTATATATACATTTGTACACACACTGACACTTACATGATGAGTTAAAATCCTCAGCTTGCACCATTGAATACATGCAATCCCAGCAAAGCTTTGTAATGCCCCGTCTCAATATCTTCTTCTCTAACCTTATGAAGAAGAAGAGTTTCAATGATGAAATCTTCCCAATCTAAATCAGATCCCATTTCCCTCTTTCTCTTATTCCCTTTTTTACCAATGACTAAATCAGAAACATCATTTTGATCATCTGCCCTTGAAGGACCATACATAGTCCTACGGATCCTTAACTTAGCAGCTTTTATCTTCTCATTTCTCCTTTCATACACCAAACAACCCTTATCAAATGAAGGGGGTGTGGCATCTAATCCTAAGTTCTTTTCCAATATTTCCTCTAGATGGAGCTTTCTGCTAAGTTCGGACTCCCCCTTCCACCAGTCCCTTAAAGTAAGAATGCCATATTCTTTCGCCCTTTTCCCCGCACTTGCATGTTGGCCCACCATAGCTACAGACGCCGCGTTCTTAAGTTCCGAAGACACCGCGTTCTTTAGTTCCGAATGAATTATAGACAATGACTCGGAAGAAAGGAGGGATGTTTCCTGAATCTCAACATTTCCAGCTTGAAAATACCGTGAATCTTTTTCAGGGACATTATCGTCATAACAATAGAATTTTTCTTCACTTAAGCAATCATTAAGCAAGTTATTAAAATCATCAACATCTCCACATTTGGAATGATTTCCCTCCTTATTGTGGTTTGACATTGACTTCAACTCGAGGTACTGAATCACAGATGGAGCATTTGTCATTATGTTTTTCATATTCACATCCTTCCCCCAGGGCAAGGCCATTTTAGCAACCTTAACAAGCCTCTCCAGAAGTTCTTTATACCGTAACTTACAAGTATGGAGCACCACATCTAACTCGTTTGCCACATCATCAATTTTTATCGGGGTTTGGTTTAGCTCTGAGACGAACACCAACACAGCCGCAACAATTGGCATTGGTCGCCGTCCAGTTGTCACAGACCAATTGATCAAACATTGTACCAAAAATGTCCCCTGCTTCAACATCCTTGAGATTGTATCCTCAGGAACCTCGCTCAAGCTAGGGGAATTGGCAATCGCAAGTTCAAAGGAATTGACGAGATTGAACTCGGGCAATTCAAGATCTAGAAAGTCAACAACGCGTTTAACCATCCTACCCATCTCGAAAATGTCACACCCGACTGATTTCCCGACTTCCTCCATTGTCAAGACCTTGGAATCCCTCCTCATGACAACATAAGAGCACGCGCCGACCAACACGGAAAACCATCTCCCATTGCCGTATTCCTCCTCGGTGATTTTCCTAACCATAAGGTTAACCTCATTAGTTTTGGTTTCTGAAAGCCCAAACTTGTACATCAATTCATCAATCACCTTTTTTGCTTCGTAAATTTTGGTCTCTCTGTAACTGTAATTGTTTCCAATGCCTGTTGTACCAACACGAACATAGGTTCCAGCAGGCCCATTAATGCCTCCAATATGGGCCTGAAATTGCTCATAGTCTTGAACAACATCACATGATGTGCAAACTATATCGCCAGTTTCATAATCTGTAACAATGGACTCCCCTCTTGCTCCACAATTCTTGCAGACCCGACAACTTCCCATATTTAGTCAACTGAAAGTTGTGCAATAGAACTCTAGAATTCCCAATCTAATGAGACATGGCTGTCACAATAGGGAGTATTCTCAAATTCCTATAAATAGAATTAACGGAAAACAGAATGATTACCTAAGCATGATAAATTCGATAAAAAACTGGTAGGAGTGTAGAAGATAAAAGCGCAACATATATTGATAAAAGGAAAAAGAAGTCACCATATGGATTAACAGAGGTGAACAACTATCATTTTTAGCAGATGATAAAAACAACTAAAAATGTGTTTCAAATCTGGAAAATTGAAATAAAACTTACAATTGTGTTTTCAAGAATAATTATACGAAATTACTGATGAGATTTATACTAAACAACAGAACTAATATATCCAAAAAACAAAAGTTACAAAAAATACTAAATCTAAAACATTTAAACCAGCGACTGAAACCATGCCATTACTAAATCACTGTCCAAACTAAAAATTAGAAATAAATGTCAAAACCGTGAGTGATTTTTAAGACAATTTAGTTATATAGTAATTTGCCTGTATAAATAATGTTTGCAGACTGGTAGTGGAAATTAATGTAAAAAAGATATCCATAAGACTAAATATTTGGCACCACACAACTCAAAGAGATAAAGAGAATGGAGGCATCAGATCACTTTTTAATTGGACTAATACAAAGAGTCGCAGACTCGCAGTTCAAACAAAATCCAATATCATCTAGACAGAGACATCGAAATGCTGATGTGCTCAGGCCTGCCTATTTAAAATCCAAGATTCTTCTTCACAATCTCTCACACCAGTTGCCCAAGAACTGCTGCCATATCAACATAGAAAGGAACCCTGCTACGACTTCGTTCCAATGTTACTAAGGAAGGTCTTACGTTACAGACACACAAACATATTACTTCATAGCCAGAGGAGTTATCACTGGGCAGTTGGCAATGTACCTTTCCCTTTGATGAATTATACTTTTACGATCTACATAGGTTACTCAGTACTTCATATATAAAACAGAGATTCATAAACTCAATGGATTTCGAACATTCTGATTTGGTAAAAAAATTATGATAGGGACCCGGAGAGATTTATGCTATTAATAATAAGAGAAGAGGGACCTGTGTAGAATAGGGTTATTGATAATAATCGTAGTAGTATAAATAGCAGGAAGTAAGGAATAAGAAGGTAGGCTGTTAGACAGTTAGAAATAGACTGGGAGAGCAGGACCTCTCGAAGAGTCCTATCTGTTCTTACTTTCTTGATTTTCAGTAGTAATTTCACCATTGATACATTATGAAGCTCTGAAAAATCATTAGTAATATACAGTTTCTTTACTATTCTGTGAGTTACCTATCAAATTATCAATGTTTTAGAATTGCTAAGAGATTTATAATCATCTATCCTCCGCAAATCCGGCCATCATGCTTAACCCAGAAGGATTCTAGTTTACAGACCACAGAATAGCGTGAAGATCTAAAGATTAATTAAAAAGAGAACTAGATTATTACCTTATTAGAGAAACAAGGATTTTAGTCTTTCGGCAATCACATATGGGTGGCGACAAGGAGATCAGCCATGATGGTCGGATAGAGAGCATGAGGACCGGCGAATGCCAAGTATAGGCGAAAACCTTAGGTGGAATACTGAGTCGGGTTTGCCGACTTACTATTCGTTGAGACCGAGTATTAAAAGTAACTAAAAGTCAAAGTGGCAAATGCCCAAAAGCACAAAAGCCGAAAGTCTAAACCTGAAATTGGAACTGCTCTACCATTTCTCTGTGCACCTGTGCCTGCTAGCAAACCTGAAGTTCTTAACTGAGGGATTGAGTGAACTGAGTCTAGTCTTCTGTGCCTCAGTGATTCCTAAATGGCTAAATCACCTAAATTTCCCTAATTCCCTAAGGGTATGTTTGGGAGTTTGAGAGTCAGGGAAGGGAAGACTTTGAGGGGAGTAGAGAGAAGGGAAGGGGAGGAAGATGGGCATGAATGCGTTCCTCTTATTTGGGAGTTACGGAGTACATATTTGAAAAGAGGGGGTTTTAGAGGGAATGTAATTAAAATTACACATGCATCCCTTTTGCATTATGCCATTATATGAACCATAAAACTATAAAAGTACATTGGATCTCATGTTTTTTCATTGTTTAGATTATTAGTTGCTTTAATATTTTTCCTTGAAAATATTACTTCAATACTTGCTTATAAAAATCATGTTTTTTGTTAAAACATCATAAAACAAAGAATTATTTAATAATTAAAATACTTGAAGTAGATTATGGCCACAAAGGCACAAACATAATACTTGTATATACCAAAACTTTTGGCAAAAAAATAATGTGAAATGAAAAACTAAAATGTAAAAGAAGATAATTAATTTAAACAATTGTGGGACATATGATCTCAGTGTATTAAGTTTCACTACTTTCACATTTTATTTCGAGAATTAACAATTACATTTATCTACCACATTCAAGTCAATAACATTAAAAAGTCAATGGCCTATAAATAAAACCAACTAGCATATATGTATACCGGTATACCTAACAGAAAGCTAAAAAGGGAAGAAAACTAGAAGAGGTTTTCAGAATAAATTCCAAAAGAAAAAGGAAAACACACACGAAAAGAGTAAGGACTAAACACTATTTTGACAATCTGTGATATAGTTTAAAATGAAAATATTCAAAATAGACTTTATTTATGAAAATGGAAGAAACAGAGATATAGTTAGTTAGCTAGGTATTAAAGAGAAGTAGGTCTTGTATATGTCACTAGGTATAGTTGTTGTAGAAATGGTATGATGGTCTTTGTACATTAACTATGATGATAGATGTTGAGAAGAGCAGGCTAGTTTCTTCCTCGAGCCATTCATTGAAGAAGGGAAGGCTGAGCAATACTGAATTTTACTGAGCATCTCTGCACTAGTTAAACTTGTTGGGATATATTATCCCGGCCTATTACTGTTCAGGAGCCCAGGACATTACTCACTACGGAGCCCGAGCAGCTAGGCCCATTTCGGCCCATCCGGCCCACTCTAGCCATTTCGGCCCGCTTCGGCCCACGCGGCCCGTTAGGGTGGAGAGCATCCCCTCCCCCTATTCTCTATAAATATGGGAGCTTCCCTCCATATTGAGGAAGGCTCTTTTTTAGCTTCCTTCTTCCTTCTTCCTCTAGAATAGCTCAAATCTATATATATATAAAAGCAGAATCGTGCAACATGATGCACAATTCTGACCATATATGTAGGACACGTGTCACATGATGGTGAATACATTACGTCATAGCACATTCAAGAAAAAAACTGTTCTGGCTTTTTAGAACTACACACGTGACATCAGTCCTATCAGAATTAAAAAGTGGGGAACAGTTTCTCTCCACGATTGAATCACGATTCCCGAATCAACATTTCTTCCATGACAAAGGCAGTTCCACCCAATCCCACTACTATATATACCTGCATCGAATAATCAAAAAATCAAGTTCAAGCACAGGCATTCTTGCAGTATATTTCTCAACTTTTCTCATATACTCATTACGTTACTAATATTTTTTAGCATATAGTGAATTAATTGTTTGGCTAATTTGCAGAGGATTGAAAAAATCAAGGTTGAAGATGTTCAACAGAGTCCAAGAGCTTAACACCTCAAAGACAATCTGGGCTCTAAAAGTCAGATTGGTGCGTGCCTATCCAGTCCCAGTTTTCACAAACAAAAATGTGATCAATACAATGGAGTGTGTGTTTCACGATCAAGAGGTGTGTATTTCATGATCATTTTTTGAGTTCAATTCCACTTTACAGTTATTAATTTTGAAACAAATTGACTCTCCTTTTATTTACGCAGGGCGACAGAATTCATGCCACAATTCGCCGAGAAAGGCTTGGCACATTCAAGGAGCGCATAAAAGAAGGAAATGTCTACGTGTTGAGAAATTTTGTTGTGACTCCAAATTCCATGAAGTACAGAACAACAAATTGTCCTTTCAACATCATTTTCAACCACAAGACAACATTGGTTGAACATGACATTCCATTTCCAAAAAATATGTTCAACTTCAAACCATTTTTTGGACTTCAAAATGCAAATCAAGTAAACCTCACTGAGCTGTTTGGTATAAGATTCTATCTTTTCTTATTCTTAAATTATTGATATATCATACAAAGACTCTGTGAATTCGAATGTTAACAACACATGGTTACACAGATATAATAGGGAGTGTTAGGTCAATCCATTTTCCTAGACCACGGGAGAATAATGGAGCAACCCAAAAATTGGTGGAAATGGTTTTGGAAGACCCTGAGTATGTTGTTCATAATTTTTTATGTATTTAATTTTAAAATCGATAAAATCATTTTTTTTCGCAAATAAACAATATTATTTTCGTAAAATTTTAAACTCATGCCATACAGCCAACAAAAGATCAGGTGCACTCTCTGGGCTGATTTTGTTGACGAAATAAGGCGTGGGGTAGAAAAGACTCCTAATTTCATGGTAATCGTTGTTCAAATGGTTCACCCAAGAATGTACAAAGGTGAAGTGTGCATGACCAACAGTTACCATGGGTCAAAGTTGATTATCAATGGTAAAGACCAAGAGATACTGGACTTCAAGGACAGGTATACCTATAATTGTGCATTCCATTCAGTGATGTATATGTGCCTATGTTAAGCAGAAATAATGACTTCATATACAGGTTTGACTTGCATGGTGATGAGGGTTACACTGGTTCACCAATTGTTGTGACCACAGAGGAAGAAGAGGGTTCAGGAGACGAAGAATTTGTGACAATCGAATCACTTTTCCAGGAAAACTTGGTAAATTTGAGAAATTCTGCTCTGTTATTATATTTAACTAAGGATCCCCGGGAATCTAATGTCAGTTGTAAATCATATATTAGAACGGCCGATTCTGGGTTGCCGGTGAAGTCATTGATATAGAAACAGGAGAGGGATGGTGGTACTTGGCTTGCAGAGAATGTGCCAGGAAGGTGGCACCAAAATGTGGGCGTTTTGAATGTATAAATCCAGCATGTAAAAACCGTCGTGATGCTGTGATGAGGTTTGCTTTTCAAGACTAAGTACTAAAGCTTGGCAGTTCAACTTTTAGCATACTTTCAAAAAGTGCTAACCTTTTAAATATCTCTAAACAAAGTACAGGTACAGGTACTAAGTACTAAGAATTCTGGACAATACAGCAAACGCTGCATTTACACTATGGGATACAGCTTGCCAGGAATTATTCGGGAAAAAGGCAGCTACAATGGTTGGGGACACGGTAAGAAGGATTATAATTCACTTATCATGACATATTTTGAAACACCTATAAAGAACTGTTGAATTACATCTTTGAGCAGAAAGAAGAAGACGGGTTTCCTTTGGAAATATTAAATTTGATTGACAAGAAAGTTATTTGTTTGGCTCAAGTACAAAATGATAGCACAAAGAGAGGTGAAACTGCTTTTAGTGTTCAAAAGATTAAACTTGAAAATGAGAACATAGCACAAGTGAATGGGGAAACTTCGCATGCTAAGGTAATAAAACGACCTTTATATTTTATTTTAATTAAAAAAACTCTTTAAACTCTTTCTTGCATTTAAGTAAATCTTTTTACATTTAAGGAAATGGAGGATTCCTCTGGAGAGCAGAACAAGAAAAACAAAGAAAAATGCGATGAGATTGACCTTACCATCTACGACAACGTCGAAACAGATGGTGACACTGCCACATGCAGCAAAAGAGGTGCAGAAAAGGGGGTAGAAACTCTTCAGGAGATGGTTAAGAGAAACAAAAGGGCAATTAAAGTCAAGATTGAGAAGTCCTGAACGAAAGAATTGGGCTACCTACCCAAGCCTGTGTTTTCAATTATGTTGTTTGTGATTTGCTGCTTTCCTACTTTGTACCTTTCAGTGTTTTTAAGCATTACCTAAGTGTTTTCAAACACACAAGGTCTTAAACCTTTAGGATTTCCTATATTTGATTTCACCTAAATGTGTTCATAAACACAACGTTTTGTTCTTTGTTCATATCAATGTAAATATAACATGAAGTTTACTCTGTGATTTAAATTTACATGTTTATTGATTACTCAAATCACCTAAAATTAAGTTTGTTATTAAGTTAAATGCTTTGTCATTATTAAAATTAAAATTAATGTACTGAATTTATGTTTTACTTTTTTTTTGAGAGGTCTGTTTTACTTTTTATATCATTCACAAATCAGCATATAAAACGGAGAGATTAATCGAAGATAAGGGGGTGAATGTACCTGAAGTCTTCAGCACAATATTACCTGCAACCCTATGCTAATTAATATATTACATAAATGGGCAACCCAATTGGGTCCCCTAAACCTAAGTTTACATTTGATGCACTACAAAAAAAAAAAAAACAAGTTGTAGAAACCTGCATTATTAAAAAAAAAAGGTTAAATTGTTATACCAAAAAAAGGCTGAAATTAGTTGACAAATAGATATATGGTTGTCCTATATGTAAATTGAAGATAAGGGGGTGAATGTACCTGAAGTCTTCAGCACAATATAACCCGCAACCCTATGCTAATTAATATATTACATAAATGGGCAACCCAATTGGGTCCCCTAAACCTAAGTTTAGGGTTGATGCACCACCAAAAAAAACAAGGTGTAGAAGCCTGCATTATTAAAAAAAAAGGTTAAATTGTTTTACCAAAAAAATGCTGAAATTAGTTTACAAATAGTGACAGATATAAAATTATCCAATTGATCAAGGAAATAAAATTAGGTATGTAATATACCGTAAAATTTTAGATTGTTATTTCTCTTTTCAATGTAATATATGATATCAAAACATTGATTCACTACAATATAAAACATTCTGCTACAAAAAAAAAATCGTCACATAGGATAAGAGAGTGTGTTTTACAAATGTTGAGGTTGAAATCAGTTTACTAATAGTCATTAATAAAAACTGTGAGTAGTAATTTTTTATTTAAAAAAACTGTTGCTAC